AAGAAAATAAATATTGTTACGATGTTCGGCATAGTTAATAACCTATGTTTTCAGATGTTTATAATAGTGACACATCTAAAGAAGGAGGAGTCCTGGGGCTTCGTGAAAATTGTCTGGTTTATTTATATCTTGCAAGATAGAACTTTTTGTTTAGATGTAGTTTTGTAGAAGATACTCTGGGTTATCTACTTATATAAAGAAATCAATAGACTACTAGGATAGTTTTTAGAAATCTAGCCTAGTTTGTCAAAGATCCTTAGAGAAACCGCTGTTCGAATTTCTTATCAAAAACAAATTTGCTTATGAAAATATGCTGCTGGATCTTGGCTATCAAATATTGAAAATTCCAGGTCTGTATCTTGTTCCTATCGAAAGTTATTCAAAAAACATCCGAATATCTTGAGTTCTGGCGCCGATAACAGTCGAAAATAAAAATAAACGATGATTGTTATTTAGAACTCAATTACAAGAGAATTGGATGATACACGCTTCAGTGGTGTTCGCATAGGATCGCCGCATCATACAATTGATAATATTGACCTACCTGACGAGTCGCCGTTGAGCAACTATTTCAATCAAACTACCTCGCCAACAATACCTCGCGTATGCTTTTTTATGTCCCAAGAGCGCAAAAAGAATTTCTGAAAACGTCTCTCTGCATTGATACTCAGAAAATTCACTTTCGAAACTAATCAGTCTATTTAAAGCCCATGTGTGCATGTGTACTATACAGTTTCTATTTTATAGAATCATTTTAGTTCAGAAATTTCCATTCTCTTTGAACATAATTCCGAAATTCTACAAAATATTTCTGGCATTATTTTGCCATCGAAGAAGCGCTACTGGAATGCATCTTTCACATCAATAGGAAGTTCTGAGTCGATCCGTTTTTGTACCACTATCAGTCACAATTTGATCCTCTATAGGATTCTCTGTGATCGAAACTTACATTCCAGAAAATGACTAAAATTTTCTCTCAATTCGCCTAGCGCGGTGACGCACGACTGCTTATCTTCTAATTCAAGAGCTCTCATTTTATAGTGTTTTTAACTAAGACCTCCTTGTCAAAAAAAGATACTTTTCGTCAAAATCGTCGAAATTGAGATAAATGCATGAGAAGGTAACCTGTGATCTGATCTCTCATAAACGACAAAAATTTTTACTCAACATCTCGCTTTTTTCAAAAATTTTTAAAGATTTCCATCACCTCTATTCGAAAAATAAGCTGTTTCCGGAAAAAGCCGAAAATCTTTTTCGTTTTTTCTCAGTTCATAATATGTCGAACGCGCAACCCAAATTTTTCAGTCCAGATCCATGTGATGTATTTAAAATTCTTTTTGTTAGAAAGAGCACATCAAGATGCAGGGCATCACAGAGTCCTTTTTTAAAACAAACTTTTTTTATAATTATATAAGAAAACATTTCTATAGAGCGCCACCATTTTTAGGAAGTTTTTAAGTCACTGAACTTGTGACTCCTTCTTTCCGCTTAAAAATTAAGAATTCAAAACAAGAACTCTATAGTGCCCTGCATCCAAACATGCTCTTTCAAATAAAAAAGATTTAAATACATCATATGGACCGGGACTGAGAAATTTGAGTTTCCAAATTCGCTATTTTTGAGCTTTGTTTGACCAATATCTCTCTCAAATGTCATGATATCGAGCTGAAAATTTTCCCATAACTTTTCCATTAAAGTTCCAACGTATCCTTAAAATTCCATGCCATTTGAACGTTCCTTGACTGAGATCGATTTTTGAGGGAGAAGGTCTTAAAAGAATCCCCTGAAACCTTTTTAACTCGAGTAAGTTTTGTGACAATCATAATCTAATAAAAAACCCTGAAAGATTCCATAATTATTTCAGAAATTACACATTAACAACATAATTATTTCCCTCTATTGACGAATATGTAGGAGAATTCCAATCAGTCGACTATTTATAAACTGTGCAGTCCAGCCAGTCGCTGAGTCATCCATTGAGAATTTTCTGATTAGAAAGAAACCCTGGAATTGGCTAAAGTCAGTGAAAATTGGCAGGATAAAATATGTCAACAGGTTCACCTCGGCGGTTACAGATCCGTAACTCAAAACATAGGTATTGCAATGAGTTTTTTTCGAATCTTTTTTTTTTATATGGAAACTGTTGGGAATTTTCAGGGTTTCAATCCTTGGGGATACCAGCGCACTATGAAGTGATCACTTCAATATTGTAGCACCTGATCATATTTTCTTACAACAGATATAGCTGTCTGAATGCTTCCATTATACCCATGCTCACACCTTTGTCTCTTTTAACAGTTAAATATCTTACAATCGAGGGGGGATTTCTAGAAATATTCTCAAACAATATGCATACATCCTTTACAGACAATGGAAAGTTCATATAGTGTTGATCCATATTTTACTAATGGCTTTTCAATTCGTCCATCACAAATAGCTCATAAAGACAACAATGTGGCTTATGCTAATATCGCAAGCGACGCAGTGACAGAAATTAAGTGAGTGGGAAGACGAAAATTAATAACTATTCAATGGATATCAATCCATTATTTCCATCTTTTTACATTTAGCCGAAATGAAAACAGAAGACGTATGGCATACCCTCGTGATTGTTTAATATGCACATGTATTTTATGTCTCGGTCTCCTAGCAGCTGCCATTGGTGTAGCACTTGGTTTGACTTTAAGTGAGTACTTTATTTGTTGTATTTTTTCAATAATTAGCTTCGAGAACACAAAAAAAACAGTCAATGCATACAAATGAGACTATTTTTTGAGGCAAACTATGTCCACGATTTTTTTCTGCGGCAGGTTAAATGAAGCAATAGTTCTCGCAAGGCGAGTAAGCTCAACAGAGAAATATTGTTTCTGGTCCTGCAAAAGTTGTTTCTAAAATTTGTAAAGCCATCGGCCCATAATTTAATGAACAAAGGCAAAACGTATAATCTGCAACTGTTTGCTGAAAGGTCTCAAAAACTACTATTGGTTTCATATCGATATTATTCGAACAAGACACTTCAGATGATTCTTACTAATACTTTTTTTTGATAAAAAATGAAACCATCAGCTTTTTGGCTAATTCGTGAAATAGCCAATCTCTGAACGATACCTCTAAAAAGTTGTCAAAAACCAGGCATAGTTTATCCAATATTGACAGACTGGTCATTCTAGTTCGTATGGACATTCTGGATGTTTCTTTTTTTTATTGATTTCAATTTCCGAAAACAGATACAGGTACATCGACAACAAAATCAGTGGCAACATTGATAAGCAAAAGTAAAATGGCTTGCCTATGTAACTTGACACATCGCTGGTCAAGTGTTTGAAATTTTTAGAGATCGACAGATCTGAATGCATTGTTAGATGCGATTATTTATTTTGTTTATGGATTAGACGTTTTTTCCTTCAAAAACATTGTATTTTGGCATCAAAAAAACGTATTTTGAATTTACTAGCCAACAGATTTTTTTTAAAAAAAGCTTGTTGGCGCAGCGTCTTTGGAGCTGAATGTAAAACTCACATATGTTCTTTAGCCTCACTAAACTAATACAAAATACGTAAAGTGAGAAATCTCTCGTAGACTATCGTTGTTACCCAAGGTAATCGATGAACTTTGAACGGAATTTTTTTATCTTTTTTTTACGAATGTCCTATTTTTGTTTGATTTTTTTGCTATTCGTTTGTTATTTTTCTTTTACACGTCTTGCTTTTCTAAGTTTAATATTGTTACTATTATAAGTATTGAATCAAGTAGCAAAACAAGACTATTGAACATATCTTTTTTTTTTGAACTAGGGTGCTAAGGCCTGTAATAGGAGAGAGGTGTCTGTAATGCTGAAGAAGAAACCGCCAAAACTCAGACTTAAAACTTCCACTGACTACTTTCTTCGGAAAACATATGTAAACTTTACAAAGTGCTGAGTGACATACCATTCATTGCATAATTTAATTTTCCTCAAAACGGCCTATTTATTTTTAATTTTCACCGTTAAAGATAACTTGCGCATTCTTGTAAAGATTCCAATTTATTGTGCAACAAATGAATTTCACTTTTGATTCAGCAACTTGATTTTTTCGTAGAACGACTATATGCAAAGGAAAGAAGAATATTTATGTAAATAAAATATTTCTGAGCACGTTCAATACCTCGAAATTCATCGACAACAAAACAGTGTGATAGCGTTACCATAGATTTTGCATTTTTTATCTGAGCAAAAATAGTTTAGGGAAATCTTTCTTACTACTTAAAAGCTCGTTCGATGCTTTACAAAACTGGCTCTAGAAGCATTTCATTTGGAGAGGTTTTTCTATAAGAAATTAAAGTTTTATCAGCGATACTGGAAAAAAAGTTTCCTTTTATGTAAGAACGTTATGCGACGAACAAATCTTTCCAGAAGTTTAAAACTTCACCAAAAAAAATGCCACTCGTTTATCATATATATATGGTGTCCCAAAAATCATGATCACTTAACAAATGTATATAACTCCATTATTAATCAAGCTTTATCTAATAATTTGTTTTTATTTGAAAGAGGAGACTAATAAGTTTTTATTCATAAAGAAAAAGTTGATAAATATTGTTCAAAAGTATTATCTTTAACGTCAATGCAAAATTTTAGACGTTTCACAATTTCTGAAAAAATACCGGGTGGACCATAATGAATGGCTGTGCTTTGCATCCTATATTTTCATCACTTATTTCGTCTTATTAAAAAAAAAACAAATATACCAAAAGATGTAATGTGAAAAACTCTACAATTTGCATAAGACCACTTTTTTAATAGTTGCACTTTTTGTTTTCAAAATGGACCAAATTTTTAGTGATCAAATTTTGATCCTGCGAAAAAAATGTTTCTTGGTACATGACGAGGTCGTTTTTCTTAATTCCATCTTTTGTCAATTTTGAAAACAAAAAAGTACAAATGTAAGAAAAAACTATCTTGTGCAAATTGTAGAGCCTTTCACGCTGCATCTTTTGGCATATTTGATTTTTTTTAAAAAGACGAAATAAGTGATGAAAATATAGGATGCAAAGCACAGCCATTCATTATAACCCACCCGGTATTTTTTCAGAAATTGTGAAACGTCTAAATTTTTTTATTGACGTTAAAGGTAATACTTTTGAACAATATTTATCAACTTTTTCTTTATGAATAAAAACTTTTTGGTCTTCTCTTTCAAATAAAAAACAAATTATTAAATAAAGCTTGATTAATAATGGAGTTATATGCATTTGTTAAATGATCATGATTTTTGGGACACCCTATAGAAGATGATAATCTGTTACGAACGGCTTTTGAACAAATGTTTTAGCTCTCAAATCTTTCCTGATAATTGTTAAAGAATTATCAAGAATGGAAAAGCGTGACGTTTGGACAAGCCAAAAAATGACCGCCAAAGAGTCGCACCATCTAATACATCCAAACCATTCAAACATTTTGGTAGCGATGAAGAATTTTATTTTTCAGTTGTGTTCATGAAAAACTCACCTTTTTGACAGAATGAGAGAAAATCGTTACGTTTCGCATCAATATGACAGTACGAGTATATTATTAAATACTTGAATACATAAAGAAGACAACAGAACGGAAGAAAGAATGAATTTCCAAACAAATCAAATCAATTCGTGTTCTGACTGAGAAAATCACTTGCCCGTACATTCTTAATATATGATGTGATTTTTTTCATCAGATCAGAAACATTCTGATACAAGCACATCAAAACCTTTTTCTATAACGAAGATGCATGAACTAGTTCATCGATCACAGCAAATAAGACAGCTCATTCTTGCGAGTGATATTCGAATCTTTGTGCATCGCGGCTGTCTAACAGTTCAAATCTCAGTGAGACTATCATTTTATACAATAAGAAATATCCTGATCCTACTAACAAGAACAATCTTCTTCTGTATTTAAGGTGGTAAAGTCACGACAACAACAACAACAGAAACAACAGAAACAACAACAACAGCAACAACAGCAACCACAACAACAACGACAACAGAAACGACAACAACAACAACGACAACAGAAACGACAACAACAACAACAATAACAACAACAACAACAACGACAACAGAAACGACAACAACAACGACAACGGAAACGACAGCAACAACAACAACAGCAACAACCACTACCGGTAAGTAATAGGCTAAATACTTAAATACTGCTTCGTGCACTGATTTAATGAAAATTTTTAATATTTGAAAATTTTTGAACTTCGTATATAAAAAGGTTCTCTAAGTAAGTAAAAGTTGCACTTCAAATATCCCGAATAACGAAGAACTTCCATGTCATGAAATAAAGCTCATGTGATCACGCTCAGCTGAGACAAAATGCAGACGTTACAATTTATCGATTTTTCTCTCCCATTTTCAATGGTTTTTAATTTTTCAAAGTTCAAGCAGCTATCTTGCTTGAACGAACACTAGTTTGTCATTAGAATATTGCGTACATTTCGGACTGATGATACAGAAAGATTTTTCATGAGTAAATCAACTTTCTTTTGCAAAAATTGTTAAACAACGTTGATGAATTTATGCGGTTATCACTAGTTTTTATGAAAAAGTTGATTTCGTAGATAAGTCTTCAACTAGTGTCCAAAAGTTTATAGCGATCTTACTGTACGATTAGTAAGGCTCAAATAGAATTCTGAAGGTTCGATTCGATCGAACGGTTTGTAAAATCGACTAGCAAACTGCAAATAAAATATCGTCAATCGAAATAAAAAGCTATTTGTCTTTATGTGATATTCGTTTTTCCACACATAACAACAGAAAATAGGCGAGCAATCTATATTTGGATAATCCTAACAGGTTTCTACTGACTTACAATAAGATAACTCCTGAAAATTTTTGATCCTGGTACATCTACACTGTGAAACTTTTGCACTGCTACCTGTACATGTTACCTGCAATTTTTCAGGGGATACCTGCGAATGTTACGAACATCCGAGGCGATGCTATTAGCATCATAGTTGTTGTCTGTAGAAGCTGAAATGCTCGTATCCACTCATTTGCGAACATAAAATCGAAATTAAAAATTTCTTAAATTCAATTTCAGCTGTTTTCTAAATTTAATTTATTCAAATTAAAATAATCTGAAGTCTGAAATTTTCTGTTTTCAAATTTCAAAAAAAATTTGCTGATATGAATTTTAAAACAAATTAAAATTGCAATTGTATCTTTTAACTTGTCGAAATTTATAGAGTTCGCTAAAGATTGAGTTTTATTATTTCAATTTAACGATCTGCAATTTGTAGAGTGCGCTAAACTACAATAGTGCTTTTTTTCCTTGTAATTACTGAAATTTATAGAGTTCACTAGATGTTGAGTTTCACTATTTCAACTTCCTGAGCTGTAATTTGTAGTGTGTGCTATATTATCAGAAACTTGCGTTCTCTACAAATTGCAGCATGCGTAGTAAAAAAATTAATTTTTATAAAAATCTTGTGAAACAATTTACTTTCAATATTCGTTCGCAGTAATCGAACTTTTAAAAGTGAAATATAAATTTTAATTGTTTTACAAAAAATTAACAAAAGTATCAAATTTAAATCAAATGAAATTTAAAAAATTTTAATTTACTTAAAATTTGTTTTCTTCATGCTTGCAAATGAGAGGTAGCCAAACTGATAGATAAAAACGGTAGAAAAGTTCACTAATAAAGTATCAAAACAAATAACGCCATTTCTCTTGTTTTCTTGGAACTTTAAACCTGGGTAACTGTAATCTTAGAACAATAGAATTCAGATTGTACATTGACTATTTAGAAGTGAGATGCACACAGCAGGAGATATCGCGACGGTTAAGCTTTCTATATATAAAATTCAATAGAAGACCGAAGTCACTTTGTTAGCTTACTGTGAGGATACTGTGCAGTATATAAAGTTTTAAATTCAAGTAAAAATTATTATATTCTTTTAGCTACTACCACGACTACACTCGGGCCAGCTCCAACCCAAACACACTGTCATGTACAACGTGCCCTCCTGTTTATCTATCAGTATCGAACGATCACTTCAAATTATTTGGAATATTCGAATAGAATCTTTGTACTGACTGTGCATGCATTATGCCATCATTATTCTAAACAATAGTCCTGCTGTTTTCTTTATAATCATTCATGTAGTTGAACCGATGCTTTCTCATCCATTTTATTCATGTTATACAACGTTGTTCAGTGCACTTTCAGCCATACCATGTTTCTTTAATATTAACCAATACTTGAATAGAATGATTGTGATGATAATTTAGTTGGCACCCATACAGCGAACATGTTCTTCATTCAAATGAATTATTTAAGTCAATAAAGATATTTGAATAGAAACGTATTATTCAGCTCTATTCATTTATTAATGTTTCTTCGTTGATGTGATTTTGTGACACATTTCGCTTAGAAGTAAGCGATATATCTGAATTCAACCCTAGTTATACCAAGCCATTTTTTGTGAGATATTTGGCGATATTGTCGAGTGATGTGCTTCGCTTTGAAGTGAGCGATATTCTTAAATTGAGTTCTGGTTATAATAAATCATTTGCCAGTAAATCTTTACTGATGTGATCGATGACATAATTTGCTTCGAAACGAGCGATATACTTCAATGAAATCATACTTGGGAAGATTCATTTGTCAAGAGATCTTTGCTGAGTTGATTGAGTGACACACTCTACTTCGAAATGAGCGATGTACTTCAATGCAACCATACTTGAGAAGGTTCATTTGTCAAGACATTTTTGCTGACGTAATTGAACGATACACTCCACTTGGAAATGAGCGATATAGTTGAATGGCATCCTACTTAGAACATTTCATTCACTCTCTCAACTTTGATCATATAATTTTGTGCTAACTTGTTCCACAGTAAACGCTATATTTGTATAAAATTTTTGTTAAAAGTAATTATTAAACATGTACATTCTCATGTATTAATCTGAAGACTACTTAGTCTCGAAGTAAGTGATGTACTCGAATGAAACCATAATTAGAAAAATTCATTTGTCAAAAGACCTTTGCTGATTTGATCGAGTGACACATTAGCACCAAGCGAATAGTATACTTGAATGAAGTTATGGTTAGAACAATTCTTTTTTCAATAGGGGTTGTGCTGCTATAATCGAGTGAAACACTCCGCTTCGAAATGAGCGATATATTTGAACAGAATTATATTAAAACTGATACATTCGCCATGTATCTTCCATCAATGCGTATAATGTTTAGTGTTTCAGTTCAAGAGTGACATATCTGAGTGAAATCGTTGTTCGGACTGATCACTTTTTACGCCTTCTGAAACAGCCAGCCAAACCTGACTTTTATTTTTGTTTTTTATCGATATAGTTGAATGAAGCACTGGTTAAACAACTTCATCTGTCAAGACATCTTTGCTGATGTGATTGAGTGACATATTTTGCGTAGAAACGAGCAATATACTTGAATTGAACTCTGGTTATAGCTATTCATTTGTTAAAAACTCTTTAGTCATGGTGTCGTGTAAAATACTTCCCTTTGAATTGAGCGAAATTTTTGAATAGAACCCTCCTGAGAATAATTCATTTGTCAACACAACTTTGTTGATGCAATCTAGTGACATACTTTACTGCAAAATGAGCAATATACTTTAATGAAATTATCCTTAGAACAATTCATTTGTCAAGAGATTTTTGCTAATGTGAATGTAGCAACATACTTCGCTTCAACGTAAATGAGATACTTCAATGAAATTTTAATTAGAACAATTCATTTGTCAATATATCTTTGCTAATCTGATTGAATCATACACTTAACTCTGAAGTGAACGATACACTTGAATGGAATCATGGTTAAAATTATTCACTGACGAATGGATCTTTGCTCATGTGATCGAGTGACACACTTTGCTGTAAAGTGAGTGATATACTTGGATGAAATAATAATTGTAACGATTCATTCGCCGAGAAATCTTTGCTGACGTGATCGAGCTACACACTTTTCTACCAAGTGAACGCTAACCTGAACGAAATTATGGTTGTAATGATTCATTTGTCAAGAGATATTATCTGATGCAATCCTGGGACATACTTCACTTCATAGTACACGATATACTTGCTGGAACTATCATCAAAGTGGTTGATTTGTCGAGTGATCTCTGTTGGTAAGATGAGCTGACGTCACTTGGTTCGAAGGAGTGATATATTTGAAGATAACAATTGTTGATTCTAATTACTTACCTCACCTTATCGCGTCCTATTATCTAATTTAAAAATCCAATCGCAAATGAATAAGATACTTGAACAGACTGATAGTTAAACCCATTCATATAACATCCACACTCTCATGGGTAGCATGCATTCAATCACTATGCTAGAATGAGTTAAGTACTTGAATACTATCCTGGTTGAAGTTGTACACTTGAGATGTGATATCTGACTATTAAGAATTATGAAATTTTTCCAACAAGATAGAAGAATAGTTAAATGGATTCATTATTAGGATGATTCACTATCCATTTTATCGTCAATCATACGATTTAGTACCACACTTCATTTCAAACCGAATAATGTATTCAATAAAGATATTTCAAGCACTGGAAGCGGACCTATTTCATTTCTATGTGCTTCTCATCATGGCATAAGTTGTTGGTTTTCGAGAACAAGTGTTAATAAATTATCTGAATCTGATCACTGTCTCGCTAATTCATTATCTCAAACATCATGCTTCCTATCAACTCAACTAACTCTTGATTTCATTACGAGATTTATTTTAACAGAACCTTTCTGCAGATAATTCATCAGCCATGTAATCTTTAATTATGAGTTTTTCTGTTACTGGCTCCCTGATAATAGCATAAATGAACGTGAACTTTCTTAATATAATTCATATGGCGAACACTGTTTAACCTCGTGTTCTGCTTTTAATTTATAGTTAGAGAGTAAAATAATTGAACATGATCTTGGTTAGGATAATTCATATGCCATGCGCTGTTTAATCTTGTGCTTTACTGTCATCAATTATGAGAGAGTAACATAATTGAACATCATGTTACTTAGAATGATTCATATGGCATGCGCTGTTCATTATTGTGCTCTACTGCCGTTGTTCGCTAGAGAGTGAAATAATTGAACATTACCTTCCTTATAATAATTCATATGTCATGATCTGTTTGATCACGTCTTCTGATGTTAGCGATCGCTTCCAAATGAAATAATTGAACTCTATCTTCATTATGATGATTCATATACTGTACACTGGTCAATCTTATGTTTTACTGCCATTCGTTGCTACAGAGGAAAATAATTGAACAGAATTCTGCTTAGAGTGATTCGGTTGTGATGAGATCCTCTAACACGATGCTTGCAGATTAGCTTTGACTTTGAAACGTCCGAAAATGAATAGATGTGTTGTTATTGCTATTGATTTTTTGTGTAGATCTTCATCGTGAGATGTGTCATTATGTTCTTGATGCAATCAGAATCATATATATGAATAGAAAACTATTGGTTGAAATGATGCGTTGATAAAGCGATATTCGATGAATTGATTCAGAAACTTAGTTCGCTTCAAAGTGTTTGGTATATTTGAACGAAATCATGCTTATGTTTAGAATGGTTCACCGGGTCTGTAATCTAGTACTACATGATGGACTTGAATAGTACATTATCGATGAATTACATAGTTGAAAAAAGCCCTGGTCGAAGTTGATCACTCGTCGTGTGTTCATTATGGAGCGGATAAATGATGTACTAGGTTTTGTTCCAAGTAAATTTCTTGAATAGATATTTTATCAAAAGTATTTGTTTAGCGTATGAGCTGTAGTGTTCGAGTATCGCACAGTCATCGCTTGCAAATGATCGATATATTTGAACAGATCTATACTTACGTTTATTCATTTTTGCGATGATTTGTTACTTCATAATAACGACAAAAGCTTTGCCTCACGATTAATGGTATAGATGAGAAGACAGATTGTTGCTGGTGTTTGCTTACCATGCAATTGGTAATTAAATAATACTATTTAGTGTTTATTTAAAGTGTGGACTATGAATTGAACAGGATACTTGTTAAGAATATTCAGGTTATGGATGATTTTCTATTATACAGTGTTTATAAAAGTCTACTTCAAAGTAAGTATTAAATTTGAACACCAGTGTTGCTGTGGTTATTCATTCGGCATACGATCAAAGATGTGGTTTTGTGATGCAGCTTGATCATTGAGTTTACAACTAACATGAACACATTTTTAGTAGACAGAATATTAATAAAAAATGTACAAAATGTTGGTCATATGACTTTGAACATTACTTGCTCTCGTTTGACTTCTTTATATATCCTTACTAAACTTCTCCTCATATATTTTTAATGTTATATGAATGCAATTTAACCTTGAATAGCGTTTATGTTGCTTACAATTTCGAAAAGGCTTTTTCAGCATTTGAAAGTTCTATGTGGTACAAACTCCAAGTAAGGTTAGAGTACTTTCATGTAACTTAAAATATTAACAAGATGAATTTTTAGTTCAAAATAACGAATTCACATAAAATTACTAATTTATAGTAAAGGTTTTATTAGTAGCTAGTCTCCTGTTGCTTATTTTCTTCGTTCAACTTTTTCTCTCTCTGTATTTTGAGTGTGGGGTATGGGTGTGTGGATGTGGGTGTGGGTGGGTGTGAGTGTGTGTGTGGATGTGGGTATGGTGGATGCGTGTGGGTATTGATTTGTCCTTCATACAGACCCACACTCACAAGCTCATTTCCTACATGCTTCTGCTGAAAATAACCTTTTCGCAGACAGAAATAATCGTTTCGGCTTTCATTTTTTAATCCGTCATTGAAAATTTGAAATAGACATTCAATCTTCCTTACTCTTGGCTTTTTTTAAAAATTATTGCTGATGATGAACAATAGGCCATGGATGCATATGTTGTGATCAATGTTGAAGAAAAAAATTATTTTCTTTTAATACAAGAGAGAAGAAAGAAAATTTTCTTGTCAGATAAAATAATTTGATAATTTTACTTATTAATCAATCAGGTTAGATTAACGCATTGAACCAATTTATGCAAATGTTTCGTTTAATTTATTTTCGAATTTCTTGAAGATCGATATATTTTCAAATGAAAACAGTTGTATGAAGAGAAAGTCAATGAATAGGTTTGATTGTGAATTGAATTAGTTTGTACTCACTGTTGAATGTATAAAAAATAGAAAGAAGGGGAACATGTTAAACTACGTTGAACATTGTGTATTTGGTTGTAACCAACAATAATTGATTGTTACTTTAAAATTTATTTTTCTTTAGAGATAAATATTGTTAATTTTTTTTTTGCTCAAATGAATTTGATTAAATAAAAATAAAAACCAACGAGTCTCCAGTTAGTTGGGATCAACAACAAGAAGAAATTCTATTCATATCACATCAGCAATAATAAAATTTGATGGATAAAACCTTCATGCTGTTGAAGTTATTCTTTCATTTGGTTCAGAATATACATGGGGTTATAAAACAGCAAATGTTCTAATACTAGTAGTACTTAAAACTCCTCCATCGATATCAGTTATTGTTCGACATACAAATAAAAATGAAACTAATCAAAGTGAAAAAGTAATTATGAAAAGAAATCAAATGATCAACAACAAATGGAGAAAGATTTCTCAACTAGAGAAGGAAATCAATATCTTGATGATGAAAATGATAGTTCCTTTTTAATTCTGTTCATTTTATTTTTATTTGAATATTTAGAAATGATAGATGATTCAACAGCGACAACAACAATGACAATAAATAAAATAAATTCAACTATTGTTTCAATAGTTCCAAAAGAAAAGAAAAAAAAATGTCGTTGTTACACTAGACACCGTACGAAAAGAAAGAACCTATTAACATTGTTTTTTGTAAACATGTCGATGCTGGAAAATCAACTATAGATAGACAACTTATGTAAATTCTATTTATTTAAAAGATAAAATGAATTTTCAGTTGTCAGGTTTTTAACAAGACAAGTTAATAAACGAATATTAGAAAAATATCAAAATGAAGCTCGTGAAAAATCTTGTCGATCTTGGTATTTTATTTGATTTTTACAAATATTTTATATATATAATTAAAACTTTAGGCCATTTCCACTCGTAAAGGTGAATTCAAAACGGGTTTTGAATGTGATGGTCAAATATGTGAACAAGCTATGTTAGTGAAAAAAACTGTTGGTATTCGTTATTTAGTTTTTCTCATTAGTAAAATGGATGATTCAACTGTTAATTGAGATCAAGCAAGATATGAAGAAATTCGAGATAAATGAACACCTTATCTTTAAAAAAAATGCTTTTAAACCTGGTGAATATACTGTTTTTATGTCATATAGTGGAATGAGCAGAGCTATACTTAAAGATCATTCTGAAGAACAAGTTGTATTTTGATATAAGTAAACATTTATTTAGAGAAAATAATCAAACAAAATTATTTATTATTTCTAGAGGATCAACTTTTATCGAATATTTGGATAATATACCATTATTTCGTCGTAGTATTGATTGGCCACTTTGAATGTTCATTATTGAACGAAAAGAAAGCTCGTGTTTCACTTTTTTTTAAATAAAATTGATTTGTTTTTTATAAAAAAAAAAAAAAAAGAAAAAAAAGGGCACGATTGTTACAAGTATAGTTCAATCAGATACTTGTCGTGTAGGAAATCAGTGTTTAATTATATCAAATCAAATACGTGTCGAAGTTACAAATATATTTATTATGAAGATATTGAAACTGAGTCTTGTATTTGTGGAGAAGATGTTAGATTTGAATTAAAAAATATAAATTTATATCTTTTAAATAGCTTGCTGTATTTGAACATTAATCAATTATATGTTCAGAGATATTCAGTTGTCCTTCATATTCATGTAGCAGTAGGTGAAGTTCAATTGAAAAAATTAATAAGACTTATCAACAGTAAAACAAGTGAAAGAATTCAAGAACATTCTAGATTTATGAAACAAGATCAAGTAGCGATAGCAAGATTTGAATTATCACATTCTGGACAAGCTATCTGTATGGAACCATTTAAACGTGCTCCTCAACTTGGTCGATTTACATTGCGTGATAAAGGCCGAGCTATTGGTGTTGAAAAAGTTCTTAAAGTAATCAAATAAAAAGTGTTCTTTTTTTCTCTGTACTGTTATTTCATATTTTATTTTTATAAGAACAAAACAAATAACTAAACTTTAATAAATAATGTTATTGCTCTGCATTTGACTCGGAGAAGTATTGAGATAAACATTATTTTCGCCACTGAAGTTTATCATCCATATAGAAGAAGATTGGTAATGAAAAATAAAAGAAATAAGATTGGAAGGAAGAGAAAGGATAATGTATGATTTTGATTCGCGTCATTGTGAAAACTTGCGACATCTTTTATAATAAGATATGATGGAGACTAACAAACGATATATTTATAATGGTCTTAAGCAATCAGAATTAGCTTGAAGTGTCTTACTTAGGGGTCAAACACACTAGAGACAACTGACTTAACTTAAGATTGAATTAAGTAATGTGATTGGTTAAGTCAGACTTAAGTCATCTTTTTGAGATGACTTAAGTCTAAATTAACCAATCACGTTGCTTAAATTTGTCTTAAGTTAAGTCACTTTTTCTAGTGTGTTTGACCCCTTATACGTGTCACTATGTCTTGTTTTTCGAGATGACCTATATCATAAGAATGAGTTTTGAAAAAAAACAGAAATTCTTTTTTAGTCTTTATGTAATACTTAGTTTTTTTAGATGTTACAGAAAGGACAAAGACAAATAAGACTACTTTTCTGATCTTAAAATATTTGAATTTTTTGTGTTAAAATCAAGTCAACAGGTTCCCACGACAAGCATTATGATTATCGCAAACGACATCGTTTGTATTCTCTTCAGTGAAGACCCATGTAAAAAAATAAGTGAAAAAACTCTACTTTTAAATACTTTCACTATTACTAAAGTAAAACAAATTAAATAGTCTTACTACTTTTGACTTCTTCTAGTGAGTTTTAGTACTTTTTAATTGATGAAGTGTAATATATTAATTTTTATACTTTCTAAAGACATTTCATTGTACTTTTGCTGTATAAAAAAATGATTTAACAGCACTTTTCGTAATCATGAAATATATTATTTTAATTTTTCTATTTTTTAAAATACTCTATTATACTTTCAAAGATTTCAAGAAGTAATTTCAAGTATTTTCTATCTCTCTATAAATACTTAATTTTGATCCTTCAGTTAAAGATATTGTTTAAGTACCGCTTACTTCAGGAAGATCTTACACTAACAAGCATCAGATGTCAATCATTTATCACTGTGAATGTTAGCGTTTTTTAAGTAAAATCTAAGTAAACGAGAAGCTGAAGCATATGCTTTCGATTGATCTGTTAACAATTTCGGTCGTCGAAGCAAGAAAACAAATAACAGCCTGTACAAATTCTAACTCCTTTCTGGTCAGCTATAGATTTGTAGTTAATTGAGTTAGAAAATAAATTTATCAATTAGTTCACTATCAGCGTATCAGTTTGATTTTCAATGCAGACTCTGGCAAAATAAAGTTCTGGCGTCTTTACCAGTGTGTTAAGCTTATGGTATTCAAGGTACGCACTGTCGACGAGTTGTAGGCCGGTTGATGTTTTATTATCTTTCTTTCTATCTTCTGTGGAGTATACACATGTTTAGGTGACTATGCGTACGACACTTACTCTTAGTATGTTATTTGTCGTTCTTTCGTTCTTCTTTTCTCTTTGCTTTTCTTCTCGGTATATTCTTCATATAAAATCAACAAACTGACAAGTGAAAGGAAAGTATGTTTGAGACATTGCATTCGCTATCATGTGATCCACTGTTAAGTTGTTTCGCTACTTCTTACAAGGTCTTGAGACTTTTGTATAATCTCAGTTAACGATCTGACCGTATGATATCCACTTGAGCTATATTTTCAACATACTTAATCACAAAATAATGGTTGACTCATAGGAAAGGCGGTCGTAGGATTCTGTTATCATTTCAACGACTTTAATCGTATTCAGTTAGATTTTTTTTCAAAAAATGTGCTGTGCAATTCCTGGCAAAGTGGCTTATTCAACTTCGATATTACAATCTTTTGAACTTTTAAAAAGAAGAACTACTATCCGGCTATTTCACTTGTCAAATTCAAAATTTTTATTAGATTTATTTTTTTTCATACAATGTCTCATGTGTCATATTACTTTGTTTTATGGATTGGCACATTTTCAAATCCATAGTTTCGTGCCCATGAAACAAATAAATCTTATTAAATTTTGCATATGAAGTAATCTAACAGTAGTTCTTCTTTTTAATAGTTCAGAAGATTGTAATATTGAAATTGAAAAAGCCATTACAGTACGCAAAAAAAGTATTTTACACGATAAATCGAGAGAACTTTATCTACTTGCAAAGCATTGATCATTGTATTTTATAATGCTGCTGTACGTTTATTTCTCTTGTTTGATGCAATGAAAGACCTTCTAATTTCATGAATACTTTTTCGAACGGATTCTCTTTCAACAGTTTCAAGTTTTAAATTTCAAATTTTTCGATATTTTTATTGTCATAACCTTTGAACTTGATACATCTTCAGTATTGTTCTGTTCTGTTCTGTTTCTTTTTACAGTATTTAAAAACATTTGCTTTTTCTCTTCTTTTTTCTTCGACTCATTCCTCTGGAAAAGAAAACATCATCGGTATATTATTGTACGGGAGGAGGACGAGTGTTTTTGAAGAGATAAATACAATGTACTTTTTTCTGTATGTATGCTCTTTTGTTTTCTTGGTAATTCAGATTATGAATGATATTAAAGAAGAACGAGTAACGAGAAAGAAAGTAACATCTACTTTCGACATTTTTCGTTCGATAGCAATCATCGATTGTTTGACACATCCATATAGCTCACTAGCTTATTACGTGTCGCTGTACAAAAATAGTATTCTTCAAGTATTTTGAATACGGCAGATACTGATACATATAGAATGTTCCTTATTAGTATATATACTATCTTCGCAATCATTCTGATTCTTATCATTTTCATTTACTTCAAACATGTTCGCTCCCAAAAACGTGTGTACGATGGTTTTCAAGATAGCTGCTTCTGAGCAAGAAATCCACATAAGACAAGACTGTTCGAATGTGTAAGACTTTTATTGTTGTCGACATGATTACTAAATTCCCTTGAAACCGGTTCGAGCATGAAATGGTTAATTCTTCTAGTATCATAGGCTTGGTATCTTGAAAGGGTTTTTCGAAAAAATTCCTTTTCTCCACACTTTTTGGATTTTCAGAATTTGAGTTCCATCTGTATGTATTGGCTACGTATGGTGAGTCGATACGTGCTATCTTCACCCTAGTCAACATTCGAGTAGACTGAGTAATGGCAACATGGCTCGTTTCACAGGATACTTCGAAACTAAAGCGATATATATTTGCGATTCGAACACTTCTATCGATTATTTGAAAGTATTTCAACTGGTTTGAATCGAGGCTAATATGTATGGTATAATTTTGATTGTCGGATGCCTGAAAAGGTTGAAAAATCAACCCCAGTAAAGCTGGAGAACTAGTTGCAACCTAGACTTCTAGAAACTGAGGTTCTACACGAGATGATCAGATTTAAAATCTATACTAATGATGTATTCGTCATTGTGTGACTTTCTCAGATAATGATTCTTACTGAGGTCGAAGTTTTTACTGGAAATGTATAGATAAATAC